CTGCGGGATGTTCAAACTAGTATGGGAGGCGGTGATTGGTGGCGACGCGGCGCGGCCCGCCGCCCCCGCCCGGGCGGGTCATTGTCTGGCGGCTCCTGAGGCGGGTCGGGCGCGGCGGTGGCTTTGGGGTTCGGACGGCGGCAGCGGTACCATGGTGAGGGCAGAGGCAGCAGTGCGGCTCGGGACTCGGGGGGCCGGCCAGGACAGCGCGGCCGGGCCGAGCCGGGCCCCGTGGGGCCGCCAATGGGCGCCGCTGTCAGCCCAGGCCGGGCGGGGGGAGGGGGCCGGGCCCCGGTCCGTGACCTTGGGTCCGGCCCGGCGCTCCCCCGGTGCCCCGTGCCCGCTGCCGCCTGGTTCCCGGGGAGGGGGTTTGTCCTGCCCTCCAAACCCGGCCCCGCCGGTGCCCTCCCGCGCTGTCAGAGCGGTGCGGTGTCGGCCGGTGTCTCCCCGGCCGCGGTTTGTGCCGGTTGCGGGGCGGTTGGACGGGAGGAAGCGGCTGTCGTGAGGGGAACGCCGATCGAGGGGCCCGAGCTGGCTCTGTCAACCGCCCGGCGCTTGCTCCGGGGTTACGCGGATACAGCTCAGCCCGCTTCCCGGGGAAACGGCCCGGTCCGGGGGGAGAAACGGGGGGTTCATTCTGCCCGGTGCCCCGTTCCTGTGGCCCCGCAGGGGGAATGGGGAGAGCCGGGTGTGGAGCTGTCAGCGAAGGCGGGCAGGGCGATGTGGATTACGGCGTTCCGTGGATCTGCGGGATCGCTGGGGGCGTTCCGAGGGTCCGCGGGAGCGCTCTGTGGTTCCACAGGCGGGTTCTGTGCGTTTGGGGGGACTCGGGCGGTTCGGTAGGACCGCGGGGGTTCTGCCGTTCTCCGAGCATCCACAGGAGGGGTTCTGAGGTTCCGCAGGGGGCTTGGGGGGTTCTGCGGATCCACAGGTGGGCTGGGGGGTTCCGAGGGGGGCTCCGGATCCGGCGGTGAGGCCCCGGTCCCCCCGCGGTAATGGAAACACCGTTGGATTATGCAACTGCTGCCGCCGCCAAGAACTTGTGCTCGGGGATGTCTGGGAATGTGCGGCACGAGATAAGAAGTTGCTGCTTGGAGGGGTTTTATCCTGTTTAAAGAAATAAGAGAGAAAAAAAAAAAAAAGTTTGCCTGCCTGCCGTGAAGAACCCAGCGGGTCAGAGGCAGGGAGGATTTTAGCACGGGATTGTGCTCCCAGCGAGGGGCTGTGGTGGAGAGGAGGGATGGAGATGCCAGAAGGATGGTTCCAACCAGGAGGGTGAGGAGAGAATTCCTCGGGATTGCCCCCTCGGGAGAGAGGAGTCCAGGAGCCTTCACTCCCATAGGGAGCCGGAGGCACCTGGGCTGGGGGAACTTCCCGTGGAGAGCTGGTAAAAATCGGGACAAACCTCAGGATTTCCACGGCGAGACCTTTCTTGCTCTTCATAGTCAACCCTCCCCCGTGAAGATGTCTCAGGCAGGCAGCTCGGAGCTGGAAAACCTGCTGGGGCAGTGGGAAAGTTCACAGCTGGCTGATAAAAGCCCGTAGTGGGAACAGGCAGTGCTTTTCCCAATGCTGCTTTTTATTCCTAGAGCAAGGAAATATCCACAAATCCCCCTTGCCTCCCCCTTTTTTCCCATAAATCTCCCTTTCCACCCCTCAAATCCACCCCCCAGAACGCCCTCCTTGAGTTGAGCAGTTTGGTGGAGTGATGTTTTCTCCTGATGAAAGTAACTCCTACAGAGTGGATTTGCTGGGTCCCCCCTGGCCTCACCCAGCGCCCTCTGCTTGCTTTAATCACCTCGGGATTAATTAATGCCCCCTCGTGACTAATTTTTTTTTCCAATGTTTGAACTGAACCTTGTGTTAACTCCCACCTGGCTGGGATGGGACCCCAATCTTGGACATTCCCAGGTGAACCATATCTTATTTTTAGGATTAATGTGCTCCACTTGCTCTCCTGGCGTGTCTGAATCCTTTCAGTTCCCTCACCACGAGCCAAAATTCCTCCTTTTTAGAGGGGATGGGGATTGTGGGATCAATATATTCTAGAAAAACAGGGATTGTGAGTATCCAGGGTTTTTTCAGGCTCCCTTTTCCCTCTGCTGTTGTTTCTTGTCTTTCTATGGGCTGGAAAACTTTGTTTTGGGGATTCTTATCCCTGTTTTTTTTTTACCTGGAGCAGATTTCGGGTTGCTGACGTCTTTCCCACGGGGAGGGTGCAGCTCCCTCTACTTTTCCTGCGTCAACCACAGCTCTCACCTTCATTAGGAACAGCTCTCATTAGTGATTAATGACATCATGGGGTCTTCCCATGTCCCTGGAATCCGTGGATTTCCTGGCAGCGGATGGGAGAGCCCAGCAAACTTGTGTTCTCTCTTCCTTGTTACTCAGCAACTCCCAAACTCTTGGCTTTGGCATTTCCACCCCTTCCAACGTGGTTTGCATTAAATCCACCATTTTTGGGGCTCCTGGTGATTTCCCACTCTGCAGCAGGAGGGGAATTACCCCTGAATCCCACAGGATTCCATTCCCATGTGCAGGAACAGTGCCCTACCCAGCGTGTGGAGAAATCAAATCTGAAAACAAACTGGGCTCACAGCTGCTGGGAAAAAACCCTCAACAATGAGATTTTGGGCTGTTTTCCCCCCATTTGGCATTTTCTGGAAAATACTGGGAATAGTGGCAGCAGGATGAGACCCCTGGGTGAGGAGCAGCTGCTGCACCCTGAAAACCTCCCTTGTTTATCCCCTTGAATCCGCGTGGTTTGAGAGGCCTTGAGTTGCCAGGGAAGCTGCCAGCTTATCCTGCAGCAGGTCCCTCTGGCTTAGAATTAACGAGATTGTTTGGATTCAGAGACTGATTAGATTAATTAACGGGCCCCTTTCTCCCCCAGGCTGGCGGCAAGGCGGGCAAGGACAGCGGCAAGGCCAAGGCCAAGGCCGTGTCGCGCTCCCAGAGGGCCGGGCTGCAGGTATGGCTCAGGGAATGCTGGGCACCCCCAAACCTCTGCTTTGGGGTCAAAACGGGGTGTTTTGGCACTGGGAGGTGTATGGAGCCATGAGGAGCTTGCAGAGGGGGTTTGCTGTCGGGTGGGACAGAGAGGATGGGAGGATTAATTGGGAGAAGTAATTACTTATATTTCCTAAGTAATAATTATAATTAAAATAAAATTATTTTATGCTATACCAGATATAACTACATTTTACTAAATTACATTTTTATGATACATATGTCATAACAATATCATATGTTATTATAGCATGTGTTAATATTGATATGAATTAGTAATGAATAAATTGGATAGTGATCTGTTTGGATAGTTGCAGCCCAAATCAGCCCTGTAGGTATGCACACCGGGGGTGCTGTAGGTGTTAACGAGGCTGTTAATTGCCCCTCAGTTCCCAGTGGGCCGCATCCACAGGCACCTGAAGACCCGGACCACCAGCCACGGGCGCGTGGGAGCCACGGCGGCCGTGTACAGCGCTGCCATCCTCGAGTACCTGACCGCTGAGGTAGGACCCCCCTCCGCAGCCCCCCGGCCCTGCCCTGGCCATTCCCACCTCCTCCTGCCGTCCCGCAGGTGCTGGAGCTGGCCGGGAACGCTTCCAAGGATCTCAAAGTGAAGCGGATCACGCCCCGGCACCTGCAGCTGGCCATCCGCGGCGATGAGGAGTTGGACTCGCTGATCAAAGCCACCATCGCTGGAGGAGGTGGGCCTGGTTCCTCTGTTCCACCTGGGGTGGGGATCGTGGCAAGGAGGGGAGTGTGGGAAAGCAAGCAGGAATTTGGCACGAGCACATGGGCTCGCTGCTTGCCTCGATTCACACTCAGGGGGATCCGCCTGGCGTTCGCAAAATGGGGAATCTTGGAGTTTCTTGGGAATTCTGCAGGTGACTTGACAGGATTTCTCCCCCTCCTTTCTGCAGGTGTCATTCCCCACATCCACAAGTCTCTGATTGGAAAGAAGGGACAGCAGAAAACGGCGTAGAGGGAGCGCGGCACCGGATCCCCCCGTCATCGTACTGTACCTGGCACAGGAACATCTCGGGGATACGAGGGATTTTTTTAAGGAATAGTTGACAGGAAGAGCATAGAGGATTGACTGTAGAGGAAGCATTGGGATGGGTTTAGATTCTGAGTAGGACACACCGCGGGCTGTGGGGCGGCAGCTGGGGGTGGGCGAGTGGCTCGGCTGCCCGCACGTTTTATACAAAAATGGAACCCATAAACCATTTTTTACAAAAATCCAGACCGGCTCCAGTGGTGAGGGGGAAGGGGTGTTGGGAGGGGGCGTCGGGACCCCCCCCCCCGGTACCGAGGGATAAGCACCGCCCACTATGCAAATGTTCGGTGGGTGGGGCGTGCCCCAAGGCCCCGCCTCCCGGGAGCACATGGCCGGCTCTGTCCGTCTGTCCAGCCACGGAGGTGTCTGTCTGTCCTGGCCCAGCGCAGGAGTGTTTGTGTGTCCGTCCCGCGCACGGGGTGTCTCTCTGAACGGTGTCTGTGTGTCCGTCCGTCCCCGGGCCGGGGACAGACGGCGGGCAGCAAACGGGAGTGTGCGTGTTTGTCAGACGGTTCTGGCTGTGTGCGGGCCACATCTCCATCCCTCCGGGCCGCCTGTCTGTCTGTCTGTCCGTGGCTCTGTCACTCCTGCGTGTCCCTCTGTCCTGGCCATCTGGGTCCTGCGCGAGCTCCCGCCGAGCCCTGGATGCAGCAGCTGGATACGGGGGTGCTCCGAGCCGGGCCCGGAGGCGGTGGCGGGGGGAGCCCCAGCCGGGCCGGCTCCTGCACTGGCAACACCGGGCGCCGGTTGCATCAGGCGTCAAGTGGCTCTAACGGCTGAGGGCACCATCAGGGCCGTGCCCGGGCTCAGGCCCGCCCCGCCGGACCGCAGTGCTGGGGATAGCCGCGGGACCGGTTGCGGCCGGGGCCAGGGGCCAGGGCGGGGCCGGGCCGGGCCGGGGTCGGTGCCGGCGGGCCCGAGGTCGCACAATGGCGACGCCGGTCTGCGCAAGATGGCGGCGGGGGGGCGGGGCCGTCCTCGCTGCCCGCGGGCCGTACATTGCGCATGCGCACGCCACTCTGTCGCCGGGCGCATGCGTGCGCTGCCGCGCGCCTCGAGCCGCCGGGCCGCGCGAGAGGCACCATGCGGACACCACGGGGGAGTACGGCGGGGGCATCGGTGTGCGACCGCAACATTGCCCCGTGCGGGGCAGAGGACACAGTCTGACCGGCGGTTTAACTCCGGTAAGTGCTCTGCTGGCAGTGGGGCTCTACGGGCAGCCCCAGACATTGATCTCAAGCTCCGCGTTACGTAACGTGCTCCCCCTACCCGACTGCAGTGGTTCTGGCCCCCCGCCCCCATGGCCCGTATTCCGCTCGCCATTGGCTGGAAGCAGCAGCGGGGCGGGGCGAGGAGGCTATAACTAGAGGCAGCGCGGTAGGGGCCGCGTTCAGTCCATCGCTGCCGCGCTCGGGTTTTGTTGCTCCTGTGCTTTCTTGCTCTCCCCTTCCGCCTGTCGCCGCCCATCGCGCCGCCATGAACGGGCAACTGAACGGTTTCCACGAGGTGTTCATCGAGGAGGGCACCTTCCTCTTCACCTCCGAATCTGTGGGCGAGGGGCACCCAGGTGCGGGCCGAGCGGGGCTGGGCGGGGCGGCGATCGCGCAGGCGCGGCCGGGGGCGGGGGGGGGGGGGTGGCCCGGTGCCGCCGTGACTCAGCCGTGACTAAGCAGCTCCCGGTGCCCCCGCACCCCACGGGACCCCTGCCGTGGGCTCCCTCCCCGCGTGGATGCCGGCGGTAAGGCAGGCCCGGTGAGCCCCGCACACACCCCACCCCCCCACCGGAGGGCCGGAGTGTCGCCCTCAGCCCACCCCACGATGGTGCCGCCGATGTCGCCCGGCCGGTGATAACGTCCCGTGGGTCTGCCCAGATGTGCCGTCCCGCCGCAGCTGGGCGGTGGTTGGAGCCCCCCAGGCTCGGTACCAGCCGGTGCCAGTCTTTCCCGGTCTTTGTCCTCACCGGTTTGGGGCACATGACCGTTAATCTGCGGAGGCGGCTGCCAACGCCCAGTGCCCGCTGCTTGAGCACACCCAGTACCCTTAAACCCTCTCAGCTCCAGCCACTCCGGCACCCAGGGCACGCTCAGCAGCTCCCGAGTTCCCATCCGCTCCGGATCCCACTTGGGCCCCACAGCTCTGCACCTTCTGGCTCAAACACCCGCAGCCCGATGGCACAACCTGTGCCTGCTCTGGGGCTCTCCCCACGCTGCCTGAGGGAGGAGGTTCTGAGGTCCGATTCCTCACTCTTTCCCACCAAAAAGCGTCCGGGGAATCCTCCTCTCCTCACCCCAGCTGGGCGCTGCCTTGTCCTCGCCCAGATCCTGCCCGGAAGGTCGCTGCCAAGGACACCCGCAGTCCCGGGGACACGGGTGGCCCTTGGGACACCCCCACCCACGCAAAACATGCCGGGAGCAGGAGGGAGCTGGTTGTCTGGTGGGGTATGGCTGGAGCAGCTTTGGCTGGAGGCAGAGCTGCTGGGAGCAGGCGTGCTGCGGATTTGGGAAGCTGGCATACGGGTCTGATCCCCTCAGTGGTGCCACGGGGCTCAGCCTTAGTTGGAGTTGGAGCTTAACTGGGACATGCCTGGAATTCCAGCCTGTGGACAAGGCGAGGGCTCTGTACACCCTGGGGGGGCTCCTGGATTGTGGGGCTCGGATCCCTGAGCTGGAGGCTCCGGAAGGAAGGGCTGTGCCGTGTTGGGCTGTCCCACGCCACCATGACGCCTCCTGCTCTTTGTGTCCCCAGATAAAATCTGTGACCAGATCAGTGATGCTGTCCTGGATGCCCACCTCAAGCAGGACCCCGATGCCAAGGTGGCTTGTGGTGAGTAAGGGCACCAGGGGACAGCCGGTGCGTGACGTGGAGGTGACACAGTGCTGACGTCACCCTTGTCCCTGCAGAGACGGTCGCCAAAACCGGGATGATCCTGCTGGCAGGGGAGATCACCTCCCGGGCCAACGTGGACTACCAGAAGGTGGTCCGGGACACCATCCGGCACATCGGCTACGACGACTCCTCCAAAGGTGTGTCCCGGGCTGCCACCGCCTCAGGGACAGCACGGGGTGGCACCGGGCTCACCAAAGCCCCCTTTGTCCTTCCAGGTTTTGACTACAAGACGTGCAACGTGCTGGTGGCCCTGGAGCAGCAGTCCCCGGACATCGCCCAGGGTGTGCACCTGGACCGCAGCGAGGAGGACATTGGTGCTGGCGACCAGGTGAGCCCCGGGGCCATGGGGTCGCTGTGGCGTGACCCAGGGCTGGGTGTGACCCCCCTTGTCCCTGTGCCACAGGGGCTGATGTTTGGCTACGCCACGGACGAGACGGAGGAGTGCATGCCCCTCACCATCGTGCTGGCGCACAAGCTCAACGCCAAGCTGGCCGAGCTGCGCCGCAGCGGGGCCCTGCCCTGGCTGCGCCCCGACTCCAAGACACAGGTGAGGTACCGCTGGGTCCACAGAGCTCTGGGGAGCCCCGTGTTCCCCGCCTGGCCTCTAACTGGTGTCCCCCGGCAGGTGACAGTGCAGTACATGCAGGACCGCGGGGCGGTGATCCCCATCCGGGTGCACACCATCGTGATCTCGGTGCAGCACGACGAGGACGTGTGTCTGGACGAGATGCGTGACGCTCTCAAGGAGAAGGTCATCAAGGCCGTGGTGCCCCCCAAGTACCTGGACGATGACACCATCTACCACCTGCAGCCCAGCGGCCGCTTCGTCATCGGTGGGCCCCAGGTGCAGTGACACTGTGGTGGTGGTGGTGACAGCTGTGATGGCATGGCACAGCGGTGGTGCGGTGCTGAGGGCTGGTGACAACATGGTGACAGTGCTGATGTGGTGATGGTGACACGGTAGCAGTTACAATGGTTGGATGGTGGTGAGAATGGCACAGAGGTGGTGTGGTTGCGGTGGCGATGGTAACACGACAGCGGTCACAGCACTGTGGTGGCTCAGTGATGATGCTGGTGCCATCATCGCTGGTGACACGGACAGGGTTGTGACACTGCTGTCCCCAACAGGGTGACGCGGGGCTGACCGGCCGCAAGATCATCGTGGACACGTACGGGGGCTGGGGCGCGCACGGCGGCGGCGCCTTCTCGGGCAAGGACTACACCAAGGTGGATCGCTCGGCCGCCTACGCCGCGCGCTGGGTGGCCAAGTCCCTGGTGAAGGCCGGGCTGTGCCGCAGGGTGCTGGTCCAGGTGGGTGCTGCTCTGGCTCCAGGTGGGCGCCGGGTCCCCAATCCAGGCTTTTGGGGGTCCGGCCTCACCCGCAGCCGCGCGTTTCCCCCCGCAGGTCTCGTACGCCATCGGGGTCTCGCACCCCTTGTCCATCTCCATCTTCCACTACGGCACCTCCCAGAAGAGCGAGCGCGAGCTGCTGGAGATCGTCAAGAAGAACTTTGACCTGCGCCCCGGGGTCATCGTCAGGTAACGGGCGTGGGGGGCTGTGCCGGGGGGCGGGGCGGGCGGGGGTCCCTCCCGGAGCAGCCCGGGGACCGCCTGGCGCCTGGACCCGGCGCGGAGCCGCTCGGCCGGACGGAGAAGGCGCGCTCGGGGCGCGGACGGGGTAAGTATCCGCCGGAGCCGAGCGCTTGGAGCTTCCCCGGCTCCCGCGGGAGCGGCCCGGCGCTCCGGGGGCGCGGCCGGGGAAGCTCCAACCGCCCCGCGGGGTGGGGAGGGGGCGGAGGCGGCGCTGCGGAACCCCCGGCCAGGCAGGGAAGGAAGGGGCGAAGGCAGGAGCCCGGGGCAGCCTCACTGAGTCGGGAATTGTGTATTCCAGGGATCTGGATCTGAAGAAGCCCCTCTATCAGAGGACCGCAGCCTATGGCCACTTTGGTAGGGACAGTTTCCCTTGGGAAGTGCCCAAAAAGCTAAAATACTGAGGAAAAAAGAGCATTGTTAGGGCTTTTCCCCCCACTCCCGCGGGCGTAGGTTACAGAGAAGCCCGTGGGCTCTGGGGGAAAGAGCTCCCGGCCCCCCCCAGGCTCCCCGGCCCCGCCATTGTCTCTCACCATCGTTTTGGTTGTGTGGGGACCACGTGCCTCTCCTGGAGCCCCCCCTCGTGTTCCCCCCCGTTCCCTCTGGATGGTTTTTAACAAATATCTCTTCACTCCGAGCTGTGAGATGGGGAAAAAGGCCCAAGTGCCCTCTCTCACCCTCCCCCGTGCCCCCACAGTCCCACTGTGGCAAGGGCCACCCCGTTTTGGGTCCCAGCAGTCCTGCTGTGGAGGGATCCCCCATTTTATCACTCCCCATTCCCCTTTTTTCCCCAAATTCCACTACATCAGGGGGACCCCCTGTTTTGGCTCCCGCAGTCCCCCCCATCCTGCTGCAGGGGGGTGACACACAAACCCCTCGTTCTGGCTCCCTGTGTGTCCCCCCACAGTCCCCATTCCACTGGGAGGAAACTCATTTTGGCTCCCCCAGTCCCGCTGGTGGGGAAGACACTTCCCATTCCACCTCCCCACCCCCCTGGGACCTCGCTGGTGCTGGGTTTGGTTCTTAACCCTCATTTTTAACCTCTTTTATGTTCCAAAAATGCACATTTTGGGGGGGGACACGCTAAAACCGATCCCCAAACCCCCCCCTGAGGGTTCGGTACCAGAGGAAAACATTTTACATACTTTTTTTTTTGATTGGGTTTGTTGGAGCGCCGGGGGTGCCCGGGCGTGGCGCTGGTGGCCGGTGTGGTACAGAGAAGCCGGCTTGTTTACTGCCCGCCCGGGCTCCGGCCCCCAGAGTGCCTTGGGGGGGGGCAGGGGGGGCTTTCTCCTGCCCTTGAGGATATTTTTTGCTGGTGCTGGGTTTGGTTCTTAACCCTCATTTTTAACCTCTTTTATGTTCCAAAAATGCACATTTTGGGGGGGGACACGCTAAAACCGATCCCCAAACCCCCCCCTGAGGGTTCGGTACCAGAGGAAAACATTTTACATACTTTTTTTTTTGTTTGTTTGTTTTTTTCTTTTTTTTTTGGGGTTTTAATCCAAAAGCTGAAGCAACTCCCCAACTGCACAACCCCTCCACCCCCCAACTTTGTCCGGATTTTGGGGGGAAAGGGGGGGCATTTGGCGCTTGATACTTGAAGGTTTGGTGTATTTATTGTGCGCCGAGGCGGGGGCGTGAGTACAGAGAAGTCCCCGCGCTCAGCCGGCAGCTCCTGATCCCTGAAAGCCCCCACTTCCCTCTTTTTTTTTTTTTTCTTCTTCTTGGTTTTACTATTTTCGGGAGGTTTCGTCCGAATGTTTTGATCCACTGAATCCAAAAATGAACTCGAAAAGAAAAGAATCTCAATAAAAGCGATGGGTTAGACGGAGCCACCTGGAGTGTGTGGGGGGCACGGGTGCAGGGGGAAGCTCTGAGGGATTTTGGGAACTGAGGCACTGCAGATGGAGAAATTGGGGTACAAGGGAAAGTGGGATGTGGGGGAGCAGATAAGGAGAAAGTGTGGGGGGGGGAAAAGGTACGGGGGAAACTGAGGCACGCGGTCCTGGAATGGGGGGGGATTTGGGAGTGGGGGAAGTGGAGTACAAGGCAGAAATGAACATTGGGACAGCAGGTATGGGGGAAATGGGGTTTTGTGGAAATACTGAGGAATGGGAAAACAGATGTGGGGGAAGTGAGCTCGGGGGAAAGCAGGGTGTGAGGGGATACGGGCACAGGGGGAGATGGGATGGAGGAAGCAGGAAGGGAACGTGGCTGGGGAGCGGAGGGATGGAGGGAAAGGGGCACAGGGCAGGGGGGTGGTTACAGATCTGGGGCACCGCGGGAAACTGAGGCACGGGAGCATTTCTGGCTTACAAAACTGCATTTATTTGGGGTGTTCAGAGCTCGGGGCCCCTCTGGGCCCCCCCGTCGGCCTCGGGCTGAGCCTCCTCCTCCTCCCCGCGCCAGCTGGCGAAGGCCACCTCCTGTGCCAGGCGCTCCGGGGACGGGCGGCCCAGCGCCAGGTTCCGCAGTGCGATCAGCGTCATCAGGGCACTGCGGGGACAGCGGTGGGCACCGGGGGGCACGAGGGGACAGGGGGGACAGGGGGCAGGGGGACTGACCTGCGGCGGAAGAGGAAGAACTTCCTGCGGAGGAAGCGCCGCAGGCGCTGGGCCGGGCTGGACTGGCGCTCGCGGCGCTGCTGGCGCTGCTCCCGCCGCAGGAACAGCGACACCAGCGGGTCCAGAGGGGCCCCCGCGGGCAGGGGCTCCCCCAGCAGGGGACGCAGCTCGGGGGGCAGCGGGGACTGTTCTGGGGGCGCAGAGGTGGTGCGGGTTAGGGGGTGACTGATTCCCCCCCGGCTCAGCGCCGGGGATTCTGGGGGTCCCCGTGATCCCCACAGTGTGGTGATGGGAACGGGGGATGTAGCCATGATCTCCCCACCCGAGTGACAGGGACTGGCTGTCCTTGTCATCCTCCCGTGCTGTTGCTCATCGGAGAAGGAGGTGACTGGAAGCTGGGGACCCTGCTGTCACCCCCACCCCAGTGACAGCGACTTCCTTGATCCCCTCAGCCCGCTGCTCACCAGGGGCTGAGCTGACGCAGCTTTTGGGGTCCCCCAGGGCATGAGGCATGGGGGATTTTGGGGCTTCCCAGGAAGCAAGACCTCAAGGATTTTGAGACCCCCCCCAGGCGTGAGGCGCCGAGGGTGTTTGGGGGTCTCACCGGTGCCGTTGCGCACGCGCTCCCGCAGCTCCCGCAGCCGCGTCAGCTTCTGCTCCAGCTCCAGCGCCGTGGTGTTCACGTACAGGTACATGTAGCACGAGGGCTCGGGGGACACCGTGTGCACCTTGTGGTACTGCCCCGCCGGCAGCTGGGGGAGCGGGGTGTCAGCACCCCCAGGCACGCCCCAAAGCCCCCGGGGTTCCCCCCGAGCCTCACCTGCATGGCCTCACCCTCCTGCAGAGAGTGGTTCTGCTGCTGCTCCACCAGCTCCACCAGCACCTGCCCCCGCAGCACCCGCAGGCTCGTGTTGCCCAGGTCCTCGCTCACAAAGTTCTCCAGGTGCAGGCCTGGAACAGCCAGGCTCTGTACCCCCACCCCAAACCCCGCTGTGCCCCCACGTCCCTCCAAGCCCCAGGTAGCCCCCGTGTCCTCTACTCCATGCTCCCACTGACTGCAGGGACCCCCCTGTACCCCAAAACCACCCCCAACCTCAGGATTCCCCCACGCCCTGTACCAGCCCCTGAACCCCTGGGACCCTTTGCTCCCTGTGCCCCCCACTGACCCCTCCGTGCCCCCTGTACCCCAGCCCAGGAGCCCCGGCCTCACCGGGGAAGTCTGCGATGAACACGGTGTCCGTGTGTCCGTCCAGCTGTGCCTCCAGCTCCTGCAGCCGCTGGCGCCACGGCGACAGATCCACGAGCAGCGGGAGCAGCCACGGCGTGGGGGTCCACGGGGACCAGGGGGCACGGACCAGGTCCACCCGGGGGTCCACAAGCCTGAGGAGACAAAGTGTCAGGACCCCGCAGAGCCCCCAAATCCCTTGGGTTCCCCCAAACCCCTGCTGGAAGTGACAGTGCTCATAGCACAGGGGACCTTAAGAGCACACGGGGTCCACAACACGTCCAGCTGTGGGGACAAGCCACCCCCTTGTGGCACCCCCACGTGTCCCTGTGTGCCCCCAAACCCTGTGTCCTCTGTAACCTCAGCTGAGAGCAGCAGCAGCACCCACAGCTCCCAGCCCAGACCCCCCCGTGTCCCCGTGTCACCTCTGCTGGAAGCGCTCGTTGATGGACACCCAGACGTCGAAGTAGATCTGGGGCTGGCTGATGTTGTAGCGCGGCAGCAGCCGGCTCAGGCAGGCCGAGTACTGCTTCAGCATGTCGGCGTGGTCCCGCCAGCGCCGGCTCTGCGTGAACGCCTGCGGGCACGGGGAAACTGAGGCACGGGGACACCGAGGCATGGAGACATAGGCACGGGGAAACTGAGGCACGGGGACACCGAGGCATGGAGACATAGCACGGGGAAACTGAGGCACGGGGAAACTGAAGCACGGGAAAACTGAGGCACGGGGACAGCAGCATGGGGAAACTGAGGCATGGGGAAACTGAGGCACGGAGATACAGGGACGGGGACACTGAGGCATGGGGACAGCAGCATGGGGAAACTGAGGCACGGGGACACTGAGGCATGGGGACACTAAGGCATGGGGACATAGGCACGGGGAAACTGAGGCATGGGGACAGCAGCATGGGGAAACTGAGGCATAGAGACACTGAGGCATGGGGACACTGAGGCATGGAGACATAGGCACGGGGAAACTGAGGCATGGGGACACTGAGGCACGGAGATATAGGGACAGGGACACTGAGGCACAGGGAAACTGAGGCACAGGGACACTGAGGCACAGGGACACTGAGGCATGGAGACATAGGCACGGGGAAACTGAGGCACAGGGACACTGAGCCACGGGGACACTGAGGCACGGAGACACGGAGGCACAGGGACACTGAGGCATGGAGACATAGGCACGGGGAAACTGAGGCACAGAGACACTGAGCCACGGGGACACTGAGGCATGGAGACATAGGCACAGGGAAACTGAGGCACGGGGACACTGAGGCACAGGGACAGCAGCATGGAGACATTGAGCCACAGGGACACTGAGGCATAGGACAGTGGTGTGGGGAAACTGAGGCACAGGGATATCAGCATGGGGAAACTGAGGCAATGAGGGATGGGGAAACTGAGGCAATGAGGGATGGGGAAACAGGCAATGAGGGATAGGGGAAACTGAGGAGATGAGGCACGGAGGAACGAGGGACAGGTGAAGTGAGGGATGGGGGGAATGAGGAACAGGGAAAATCGAGGCACAGGGGCTGTTCCATGAGTGATGAGGAAACATGGGGAGAAATGAAGGCAACAAGGGGAAAATGAAGGATGAAGGAAACTGAGGCCCACGGGGCAAGTGCCCATCTTTGGGAGCACGGGGGGGTCGCTCACCCCTGGTTTCAGGTAGCCCACCTCCCCGGTGAGCCCGTCCCTGTAGGTGATTTTGACGTGCTGGTGGAAGCGGGAGTGCACCATCATGTCCCAGGAGTAGCCGTAGAGCCCGTTGGTCCAGTTGTTGTAGCCCTGGGGACACGTGGGGGGGTCACAGAGCACAGGGGTGTCCCCACCCCAGGGGACAAGGAGTTGACAGGGATCCCAAACCTCCCACTAGCCCCCTTTTACCACCCTAAATGCCCCCCCAGCCCCCAAATTGCCCCCTCTATGTCCTCCCCACCCCCCAGTCCCCTCCCTGTGTCTCCCAAACTCCTTCTCACCCTTCTGAGACCCCCCCCCTTGTCCCCAGACCGTCCCTCCTTGTGCCCACCTGGGTGATGAAGTGGGAGTAGGGCAGGAAGAGCTGCTCCAGCACGTAGAGGATGGTGAAGGCTGCGGCCAAGTGCTGCCGAGGCCGAAGGCCCCCCCGGGCCCTCCGGCCCCCGTAGTGGCAGTCGGGGCTGGGCTGGGGGGGCTTGGTGCTGGGCAGCCAGGCCTGCAGCCGGGGGGGGCAGCGGGCCACGAGCCCCCGTGGCCACTCGGGCCGGCAGAAGAGCCCGTTGGTGGCCAGCATGGTGTAGGAGAACATGCCTGTGGGGAGGACACTTAGGGACCCCCACTGCACCTGGGGGTGGGGGGTGCCCCTATTTGGGATTGGAGTGGGGGTTCCCTGCGCAGGGTCAGGGTGTTTTGGGGTGTCTGGGCACCCCTGTTTGAGTTTGGGGGCTGTGGAGGGGGGAGCTCGCCCTGGTTGGGGGTGTTTGGGGGTACCCAGGGGTCTCATGTCCGGGTTGGAGATGCTCTGGGGGAGCCCTGGGGGGGTCTGGGGGTGCCTTTTCCCCCCTCACCGATGCTGAAGAGCTGGGAGTTCATGCAGTGGAAGTAGGTGACGAAGACGAGGGCGAGGGGCCGCGTGGCGTCGAAGAAGAGCAGGAAGCCGGCGGAGAGGTCGAGCACCAGCCCCCCCCCGTGCACCACCAGCCGGCTGGTCAGCTCCTCCGACAGCACCAGCCTGGCCACGGAGCCTTCCTCGGCATCGGCCCCGCCCCAGCACCGGCCTCAGCCTCAGCGCCCCGCCCCAGCCCCATCCCATCACCTCCCTCACCTTCCTCCTGCTGGGCGTCACATTCCTCATCCTCACCCCAAACCCACCCCCTGTGCCCCTCCTCATCCTCACCCCAAACCCACCCCCTGTGCCCCTCCTCATCCCATCCCCATCCTAACCCCAGCCTGTCAGACCCATCCCTTCCCCATCATCATCATCAAACCTCCTTAACCTCATCCTCCAACCCCATAACCCTCCCCATCCCATCCCAATCCAATCCCATCCTGTTCCATCCCATCCCAATCCCATCCCGTCTAATGGATCCCATCCCACCTCTCATCCCAGCCCCACCTTCATCCTCATCCCCTCACCCTCCTCACTGTGTCCCCTCCCCGTCACCCCCTCCCCATCCTCACCTTGGACCCCTCAATTCCACTGCACCCTCATCAACCCCCTTCACCCTCCCGGGGGGGTCCCGGGGGGGGGTCCCGGGGGGGTCCTGGGGCAGGGACACCCACCTGGGCACGCAGCAGGGCGTAGTTCCACAGCGGCACGTGGGCGTTCCGCTTCCGGGGCCGGAAGAGCCCGTCCACGGAGCTGGGGGGACACGGGGGGACAAGGCCACTGTCACTGTCCCCAGTGTGTCACCCACTGCCAGAGCCCTGGGGACGCACTGGGGACAGAGAGCCAGAGGTGGCACCAGGTGGGTACACAGTGCCACAGGGGTGTCCCCTGGGGACACAGCACCATGGGGACCCCAGGACCTGTGCCACCCGCTGGGGACACCATGGCCTATGCCACCCCATGCCACAGGGATCCCCAGGACCTGTGCCACCCCCTAGAGACACCAGAGCCACAGGGGATGCCAGGGCTTGTGCCACTCCAATGCCATGGGGGTACCCAGGACCTGTGCCACCCCCTGAGGACCCAGTGCCAAGGGGACCGTGGGGTCTGGGCCACCCCACTGGGACCCTGGTGCCACAAGGGACCCCACAACCTCTGCCACCCCATGGTAACCCCAGCCCCGTGTCACCACCCTGCTGCCTCACAGAGCCCCAGTGGGGGATCCCCAGTGCCCCCTGTGTCCCCAGAGGCTCCCCGTGCTCGGGGGGTCCCCGCAGCCCCCCCGGTGCCCACCCGTAGCGGTCAGCGCCCAGCAGTGCCAGCTGGAAGCCCAGCAGCCCGTAGAGGTAGGAGTGGTTGTTCCAGGAGGTTTTGTCCAGCAGCAGCAGGTACCAGTAGGGGCACAGGAACGCCACGCAGCTCAGCCGGTAGCAGCAGCCCAGCATGATGCCCAGCGCTCCTGCGGGCACAGCAGACCCCTGGTGTGCCCCCTGTCCCCTCCTGCTGCCTGTCCCCAGCCTCCCTCTGCTCCCCTGCTACTCCCAGTGCCCACCCCAGTGCCCATTCCCATCCCAGTGCCCCTTCCCATCTCAGTGCCCAGTCCATCCCAGTGCCAGCCCGTGCCGTGGTTCCTGCCCCAGTGCCATCCGTGCCTGTCACACTGTCACCCCTGTTTCCCTCCCAGTGCCATCCCTGTCCCTGTCCCTGCCCCAGTGCCATCCCTGCCTGCTCCACTGCCACCCCCATTTCTGTCCCAGTGCCATCCCGTTCTTATCTCAGTGCCATCCCTGCCTGCCCCAGTGCCACCCCCATTCCTGTCCTCATACCACCCCTATTCCTGCCCCAGTGCCACCCTCGTTCCTGTCCCAGTGTCACAGTGCTACCCCCATTCCTGTCCTCATGCCACCTCCATTCCTGCCCCAGTGCCATCCCCGTTCTTATCTCAGTGCCACCCCCGCCTGTCCCACTGCCACCCCCGTTCCTGTCCCAGTTCCCCCCCAGTTCCCCTCCCCGTACCCAGGAACATGACGGTGTAGAGCAGGTACATCCAGTCCAGGGGCAGCGGCGCCAGGAAGGGCAGCAGGGGGAAGCGGCACACCTCCAGCCCGTCCAGGTACCGCTGGTCCAGGTGCCCGAGGCCGCGCTCCTGCGGCACGTCCAGGGCCATCAGCAGCCCTGGGGACACGGGGGTCACTCGGCCGGGGTCACTCGGGCAGTGGCCGCAGCCCGGCCGGGCGCTGACCCCTCCGCCTGCCCGAGCCCAACCTTCGCTCCGGTGCTGACGTGTCACGGCCGGACGCCGCCGGTCACTGGCATGGGGGACCCCCGGCTCCCGGCCCCTCTCCCCGAGCCCCCCAAGGTCCCGGTGCCCCCGAGCCCACGCAAAGTCCCGGTCTCCCCGAGCCCCTCCTCGCTCCGTTCCCCGATGCGTGTCCCCCCGTGCGCGGTCTCCCTGTCCCGGTGCCCCTCAGAGCCCCTCGGTCTCCCTATGCCCCCGGTGTCCCTGTGCCCCCGAAGCACCTCCCGGTCCCTCCCGGTCCGTGCCAGCCCCGGTTCCCCGGAGCCCCCCCGGTGCCCCGTCCCCGCTGACCGAAGGCTGCGCGGAAAGCCCCGAGGGCGGCGGGGTCCTGCGGCCGGTGCAGCAGCCGCACGAAGCGCTGCCATCGCGTCAGGTCCCGCAGCTCGAAGCCCAGCAGCCGCCGCGCCAGCCCGGGCCCGGTACCGGAGCACTTGGGCGACCCGGTGGGGCTCGGGGGAGGTTCCGCCGCCTCCTCCCGCTCCGGCCGCCGCCGCCGCGCCGGGCCTGCCGGGGGTCAGGGGTCAGCGGTCACGGCTCGGGGGTCTTGGGGGTCCCCGGGGCTTCCGCACCCCCCGCCCCTGTCCGCACCCGCCGCCGCCGCCGCCGCCGCCATCGCCGCGGCCCCGCCCCGCCGCACGTAACAGTCGCGGCAGCCAATCAGCGCCGAAGAGGGCGGGGCAATTGGACCACACCCCATCAAGCACCGCCCCTTCTCCCCTGAGGCTCCGCCCCCGGGATCCCGAACCGGGACCCCGAACCGGGACCCCGAACCGGACCCCCGGCCCGCCCCAATCCCCCCGGTCCGCCCGGGCTCTGCGCGACCCCAT